CCAGACAGTCCACATTTTTGCTCCCTCCCAGCTCCCTGCCAGACAGTCCACATTTTTGCTCCCTCTCAGCTCCCAAGCAAAAATGTGAACACTCTGCGGGTCCCCTAGGACCGGACTGGGAAACACTACTTTAGGGTAATAACTTGAGGTAATTATGCATAATATTATTTAGTAGTTACATAATGTTGTTCCACTGTAAATGTAGCCAGTACTGCTGTACCCTGGTATTTATAGTGCACAATGTTCTGGCACAAGCTAAAAATTCATTTTCAGTTTAAGTCGTCAGCATAATCATACCTGAATTAGTAATTTTTTTAAGTGATGGAGGGTTGATTGTGGTCACCTACAGAATTCACTCGAGATCTCACTTTTTTTTTTACAGATGATCCATACTAAAATGTTTGGCCTCTTCTCCCGGTCAGCTTCCTGCAGGCTCAGTGATGGTGAGACCTGGATGGCTTTAAATCCACCCCTCATTAACAAACGGGCGATACCGTGTGCTACAGCTTTGCTGTGTACTCACAGCTGTGTCCGTGCTGAACCCATCGAGGGAGGGGTCATCAAATGATCCAGACAAAGCAGTAAACTCCACATGAAGTGTGGGAAGATTTTCCACCGCCGAGCCCTTGACCGCAGTTCTGGCGCAGTGAGGGGGATTGGGGGGGGGGCGGGTTCATGCTAACGGCTCTGTGTCACGTTGCCGAACCCGCCCACCAATAGCCGTGGACTCGTTCCAGATGTGACCGAGCCCTTTTGGCTCCCGAAGGCTCCCTACATCTGCCACAGTGCACTCTTTGGAGCCAACGTTACAGCCAAAAAATGGGAGACATAAAGCAGGAATTTTGAACGTATGCACTGAGGTGGCAGTGAGGGAGAGAGACCTGTAGCAAGGAGAACATTCCTGCACAAGTATCAGGTTACACGTTCAGGAGGACATATGCTGGTTCTGGAATGAAATCGGCTATCCCAGAATTCAGAATTCCTTCAGGACTACATCACTGGTCGGCAGAGCTATGGATACAGACAGGATCCATAGAATGAAAACAGACATCAGCGACAGGAGATCCAGGGTGAACAATATTTCAGCGCTGAGTGTCCACCTGGCTTCATGCTGGTCTGAGTGAAGCTGTCACATTGAACGAGTTGTTGCTATGGAGAAGCGTCACTTCAGACTGCATCTCCCAGGACGTAAAGCCCCTAAATGGAATCACAAATGCTTCTGATGGACCGCTGCTGTTTTTAGAATTTACCTTGTGTGGCTTAACACCAGAGCTTAGATATGGAGGAGGGCTATTTCTGAATTGTGTTTCTCTGTACTTTTCATGTATTTTAGTTGTTTCTCCTCATCCTGTGCACCTGAGCTTCCTCCTCTTCTGAGCTGGACCTCCCTGTCTACTGTCCAACATCAATAATCCCTTTAGTCCTCATCAGCCAGTCCTATACCAGCCAAGGTGCTCCTTCCGCTGTCCCACTTCCTATCTTCCTATCCTGTCCTTTCCCCCCTCCCTTCATCTCCTAATCCCTCTCGTTCCCTGTCTTCTCCTGGTGTGTGTTCCTGTGCAGACTGATGGGACATCATTGAGCAGGAGTTCTTGTCTAGATCGGTAAAGACACGGACAGTAGCCATGACCACCCTGCACCCATCGTATTTACGGCTGCATGCTTCAAGCACCCCAAAATCTGCTGCCGGTCCCGTGCTGCATTGCGGTGTGCTGGCAGACATCTTGCCAATGTCTTCTGCTCTGCTCGCATGGCCGCCAGCAGACATCATTCTTCCCATGGCCAATCACAGTGACATTCAACAAAAGGGGCTCGTATTTTGAAATGAAGTAACTTCAACGAGGACTGACTTCATTTACAAAAACACAAAGCATAAGCAGAAACGATATTCAAAAATGAGCACAGAAGACTTTGTGTTCCGAAGGCCATGGACTTTGTATTTACTGCATCCTTGCATATATTTCTTTTATCCACCAAACTCCTCGCATAGAACAAAACACCATATTTTGCACACTGTTTTGTCATTTGATTCAGTTTTCCCATGATGCCATGCCCGGGAATGTGGGGGAATGATGCCCAGACAATGCAACAGTTTGGGGGGGGGGGGGGGCCCACGCAGAGAGGTGCGGTTAGTCTGGCGTAATGGAGGAGGGTGAGGATGGGGGGTCTGGTGTGAGTCATGCTCGCTCACCTTGTTTGCTGGGCTCAGCATCCGAGGTGGCTGGTGATGGTCCCGGGGGGGTGGGAGAGGCTGTGGGGGGAGGCGGGGGCTTGTCGCTTTCCTGAGGGCGACTCTTGGAGGTCTCCATGCCCTTTACCCTCCTTGCATGTCGGTTGCCTTTGTAGTGAGCCTCTGCCTGACTCTGTATGGGGGTGGGGGGGGCAGAATGGGATCGGATTGGTCAACCAGAGGCGTATCATTTGCTGGGGGGCATGTACCGGGAAACCATGTTTCTGGGATATTCTGGGATCACTCTCAGCCCCCCTCCCCCCCCACCACATCTTTCTAGACCAGAACCCCCCTTTTGGAGCCTCATGATGAAGTAATGTGAGTGGTGCGGGTCATGTGACCTGCTGTCCCAACTGTGACCCCCCCCCCCTCCGTTTCAAAATGATATCATCAAATTTTCAAATTACAGTTAATATGATAATAAAATCCATTCCCTTCATACGAATCAGACACAGAACTGAAATGCAGTTTGCTCTTTGTGAATCAGTCCTTTAGCCAACTCTTCAGTTGCTCACTGGAAGTCCTTTAATCATAAATGCTTCTTCTGCACTATCTGTTATAAATGGAGACCACAGCTGCCCAGCTGCCCAGATGCATCTACTCTTTTCAAAAACAGAAAGTTAAAGGGGCCTTTGGTGGTCGTGGAGGCATGAGTCTCTCTGACTGCGCCATCTGTGTAACCTCACTTTTAAGCTGTTTATTTGACGTCTCAGTCAGCCCTATTTACATTCTCAGCTAAGCTTCGCCGAGTGATGAGCTCCCAGCCAGGCCTCACGCGGTGGGCACAGTCCACGGCCTCTGAGAGGTCTCGTCGGCAGCGGGGCATCATGGGAAAGGCGTGTCTGCCAGTTTAATTGGTGTGCGCGACATCCTCCCCCCTCCCCCCTTCCCTAGAGCCCTCTTTCTACATTATTAATGTGTGGCTGGTGCAACTTGATCTGGTCAACAAAAATTCCAGTGTAGCCTTACAGTTGGTGTGTGGAGGGAGACATGCTGTCTGAACGGGACAAGAGTCCAGCGTCTGCTCCGTCGCAGAAAGAGTCACCTTTCACTTCCATTGTGCTTCAGACATCGTCTTTGTAACATCTTGCCCCCTTTTCCTATAAACCAGCCACGTTCACGCGTCGAATAAATGGAAAAGTATCTCCCGGCCCAGCAGGTCTCAGATAATTAATTTGGAGAGGAGCATTGTGGGAAGGTTCTAACCACGCAGTGTTTCAATGTGCCAATGTACAGTCACCGCTGGGTGCCAGGGGCCTAGTGCGTCATCCTGTAAACACACGGGTGACCACTGTGTGACAGGATGGGCGGCGGCCTGAGGGACCTTCAGCTGATTGGCTGCACGAGCAGCAGAGGTGTCAGGGAGGCTGGCAATAAAGAGGATGCTCCAGATGTGTCGCAGATTGCCTCAATGATTATTAATATTATTAGTATTATTATGAATATTATTATTGTCGTTGTTGAGTATCAGGGGGCTTGTTAAAGGACTGGAACACAGATTTAGACAGAAGTGAGGAGCAGTAGTGACAGGAGGCTCCTGGCCCGCAAACACCAATAATGCACTTCCTGACTTTTCATGGGGACTTTTTGAGGGTTAGCGCTAACCCT